TTCGATTTATATAATGTGAAATCTTTTGATAACTAGAATAAATGGTATATTTAATAGTAATATACAGAATTATATAAGGATTTAAAAAGCAGATTGCAATAGAAAATAAAATTAAGAAAGTATGTAAAATGTTCTAAAATTATATACAGTAATAACAGATTAACACTTATTCATCATCGGGGTTTTCTATTTTCTAACAAAATATATTTCGTAGAGAAGAATATCTACATACAGTCTTTAATTAAAATGTTGATAAATCTTAATAGTATATAAAATTTAAGTATATCAATACTCTCTCAGTTAACTAATATCTATTCGTAATAGCATTCATTCATAATTTAATTAATTTAATATGATATTTTATATTTAATACTAATAAATAATTTAATATTTCCTAAACATGTTAATATCTATCTACAAATAATTTTTTTACTTTTACATGATTTGTAAATTTACATCCCTTTAATATGTGTAATATCTTACTATTTTATTTTCTTATGTAAGCTAAATAAATAAAAATAAATAAAATATTATATTCAGATAATCCTGCATATTTTGCGATATCAAATTATTAATAAAAAGCATTCGATACATGTAGCAAGTTTTCCTAGAAAAGCTGAATATAAAATGTGCATACTTTCATATATATGTCGATATGAAAAGAAACTGTAAGAAGAAAATGTTTAATCTTCTATTATTCGTATACAAATATTAGGAATAAATTGCGACAAGATGACATCAATATCAATCACAGATTAAGTATCAGTTATACATATTATTGTATAATCCATTGAACATTGTTTTTTCTCGCGAGAGATTAAATACTTATTAATTTTAATATTATATTATTCACATAGATTTATTATTTTTATTTCAGAATATGTGTCGTTTTCATTAGAGGAATTTGCTACATGCCACGAATCTGCTACATTTTAACGTATATTTTATTTAAGTATCACACAGTCACATATACAACAAATACGTGTCAGTTAACAAATTGTATAAAAAATGTGACATTAAAAAATCTTTAATAAAAAAGATCTTGACAACAAAAGCTACACAATAAGCATATTAAAAAATGCATTTTATAGTATATTGATATTTTAATTTTTCTTACAATTTACTTAATTAATTATATATATAAAATTAATTATGTAAATTGCATTTTGGAAATTTAGTTTAATGAAATATAATTATACAAAAATATCCCAACATTAATAAACATTGAACAAAACTATGAAAGTCAATTATATCGCATATACAAAAGAATGACATATATGTTTATACGATTTTTGAGAACAGCTATTCCAATATGTATTCCAATGTATTGTGCGTAGTGAAACACTTATACCTTATAAAATTGCATAATAACTATTGATTGGTTAAAGCCTATATATACTTGAAATTATATATGTCTAGCTCTGATCACGTCATTTCTCATTAGTGTATCGCGGATATGAATAAACGCAAGTCAACCATAGTCATTTTAATACCGGAGATGCCACATAATTGAACAAGTTTGAAACTCTTGTGCGGAGATCTTCACGTCCTCGATGTATCTTTCTTCCAGTTAACTGGAGCGGGTAATTTCCGATTCATACCATCCAAGTTTAATCTACTCTTCGAACATTTCCGACATGTTAGTCGCCAGAAAGCGAGCCTGAAGTCTGCCGAATAGAAGGCGTAAATGAACGGGTTGATAGCTGAATTGATCCACCCTAAACATATAAAATCATTTCCGATCATATTATTCCGTAAAAATATTGGAATAATAATTTATCACTTAACTGATTGCTGTTACATTATACGATTATGATTTTGAAGTTTACGAAATAAATAAAAAACTAAAGATATAAATATAGCTAAAATAAATTGTATCAGATTTTATTCAGTTTATATTCATTTCCATTTTCTATTAAAAACTATTGCATACAAAAACTGTCCTCTTAATTCGATTTTAAATCTAATTTATATGAAAAAGATTTTTAATGTAAAAAATTGTAATAGTAGTCAATTATAAAATTATTAAAAATAAAATTTAAATATAAAACATAAAACATATAATTTATTAAGACTCAAATAAACTTTAAAATTGTCAAGAGGATTACACGGAAAATAAAAAAAGATAAACATGCTTTAAAGAATCTACATATACATATGTAAAAAAAGAAATTACCTAGCCACGTCAAAGCTGGCATAAGAACATCTGGTGGCTGCACAGGTACAAAAGGTGTTGCCAGATATAGAATAAAAAATGGTAGCCAGCATGCAACAAAACCGCCTACAACTACTGCCAGGGTACCCGCAGTTTTCGTCTCTCTAGTGACTTTGTTGATGCAGCTCTGCTGATTACCTCGGATTGTGCCTAACTTTTTGCACATACTCATTGGTTCGGTTTCCTCGGATGGCTTGTCGCATGTCACATTACTCTCGGCACAATCCGTACGTTGTATTTTAAAGCTTTTTCCACGATCAATCTATTAAAAGAGAATTCAGAAGTCCATACGTACATTTTTATGTAACTAACATTGCAATCAATTGTTATAATTAATTAATATATATAATTAATTAATATATATACATATATAATTACGTAATTTATAGGATAATTAGCAATTTTTTGCTATTTCTTCTAATTCATACATTTTTATTTTAGGTAAAGAATTCGGAAATAAATAAGCAAAAACTGTATATAAAATGAATTTTAAAACGGTTGATAAAAATCTTTCAATACCAAAAATTTCTCAAAATTGTGGATTAGTGTAAGTCTTTAAAAAGGTAAACAATATAATTTTCTTTATTATAATTATGTAATGTGTGACTCAATGATCGATGTATTATATATTATCGTTTGCGTTAATTAAACGCATTGCAAGAAAAAGCTAGAAATATTTATTAAAGATACAATCACGAAATGTACTTTTTTTAAATTTATATAAATTAGAAAAAGGCTAGTTACAAATCAGACATAATGTGTTACACTAATATTAAATTTTTTTGTATTTATATACAAAGGTATACATACGCACGAATGCGAGGAAGAGTTTCTAGTAGTATAGGTGTTATAAAAGCTAACTACAAATAACAATTTAAATATTGAAAATGTAAACAGAAATGAATACAATCAAATATACAGGGTGTTATCAATATAACAATTAATATCAATTTTTGATAATGTGCTTTCATAGTAAAAATATATATGTTTATATATTACATTCTTATCCTCTATATTTAATAAAATAATAATAAGTACAAAAGTAGTATCTTGACTGGTAGAATTTTATATGTTGCTATATAAATAAAAATACAATCTTATATTAAGTCAATTTTAATATTTATTTCAAACACGATAAAATTTTTTTATAACTATAGGAAAGAGAAAGAAGAGAAAGAATGAGAAAGCGGGCAATTCCACGCATAAAAGCATCAAAATAATTTTTTGTAATATTATATTATTTAATTTTTCAAAATTCAATTTGATGAGTATATATTTTCTAAAAGATATTATAACCCTTATTAATTATTCTCGACAATAACTATTTGAATAAAAGAGAAAGCAGAAATTTAATATTTAATATTTAAATCGGTGTTTAAATAAAGATATATATTTCAATGTAATATAATATGTATACTTTTATTTCATTAAAGTTACATAAATTACATTAATATCAATATTTTGTAATAATTGTACAAAAGATTTTTATTTTTTTTTTTTTTTTCATTGTAATTAATACTTTCTATTAAGCTGTCAAGTTTTCACTCAAAAATATTATTATCATAAAAAAAATTTTTAATTAAAATATTTTATATATATATACATCTCCACACACAGCATTGACTATCAACGTAACGATAAGATTTTATGTATAATCTTTAATATATCTTTCTCTATTTTCTATAAAAACGATAATCGGTATCTGCTTGTAAAGAAATTTTTACAGATAATGTTATAACTAAATCAAGTCTGACAAAGAAATCTAGATAAGATATATTGTGTAAAATAATGTATAACGTATTGATTGCATAAGATCGGATAATGTGTGAAATCCGCATTACGGTATTAAAGCATGAACAGTTCTACGTCACTTGCATGAGAGAACAGTCGATTTCTTTAATCTCTTTTTCAATAAAATTGTGAGAACGATTTCATTACCTTGAGTGGCGATGCTTTCATTGAACAAATCACGATATGCTTTACATTAAAACCAAGCTAATTTTTTATTTCTACGATGAGTTCTTCCTGATTGAAAGTTAGCTTTGAATGTGGAACAAACTCATAACTGAACAAACTTATTGCTATCAGTTGCGTATTCTCTGCTGCTACGTTTGTCATTGCGAACACTTTAGTCTTTCTAATTGTTGTTTTTTTATTCTATTTCTCTAGACGCTACAATGTCCTTTTTAAAACTTAATTACAGAAACAAAAAAAGATTGTATTGTTTATAAAATGAACATAATGAAAAGATGTTTTACGCAACGAAAAAGCATTTCGGATAATTAAAAGAGTTTCTTCAAGGAACAAAGAAAACTTTTTTCAATTATACATGAAATATAAATAGATCATGCATACAAATTTTTATAGTATATATATATATACACGTTTCTATAGATTTTTAATAAAAGAGTATTTAATTTTTTTAAATATTATCTTTATATACATATATTCAAGTCTTTATTACTCTTATATTTGAATGTTTACTTTTAATGTTTTATTATATTCATTTATTATTAATGGCATATAACGATAAACCCAAATATTGATCGAATAGAATCTCAGCGAACGAGTGATTAATATCTTGCCGTCACAATTAGCTTACAATATTATCCATCGAACGAACAAACAAAGCATGTTAAAAAGATTAATGCATAGGCAGGTGTAAACACAGGAAAATTTAATCTGATCTTATCAATATTATATCACACACAAATTTTTGTTATAAAATAAAACTCATCTCTTTTATTAAAATAATAATCGCTATCATTTACAAAATTGTAAAGCATGAGAAGAACACAAGATAAGCGTAATCAATCGTATCACAATCTTCCGCATAAAATACTAATTTCCATATGAATTTTACTATTTTTATTAGAAAAATTGGTTTACTCAGATGATAAACACGATGCACCCGCATTATCATAGCATTCTATCCAATTACATAGTAGGTATATATCTAATAAAAGACAGGGTTAAGTAGTAACTAGTTAAACAGTTAAAAGTTAAGTTAAAAAGTTGAAAAGTTAATAACTTTTAAAAATTTAATCTGATCTTATCAATATTATATCACACACAAATTTTTGTTATAAAATAAAACTCATCTCTTTTATTAAAATAATAATCGCTATCATTTACAAAATTGTAAAGCATGAGAAGAACACAAGATAAGCGTAATCAATCGTATCACAATCTTCCGCATAAAATACTAATTTCCATATGAATTTTACTATTTTTATTAGAAAAATTGGTTTACTCAGATGATAAACACGATGCACCCGCATTATCATAGCATTCTATCCAATTACATAGTAGGTATATATCTAATAAAAGACAGGGTTAAGTAGTAACTAGTTAAACAGTTAAAAGTTAAGTTAAAAAGTTGAAAAGTTAATAACTTTTAACTTAATTTAGTTAATTTTAAACGTGTTAACTTTTAACTTAAACTAATTATTTTTAAATGTATTAACGATAACTTATAAACTTGTTTAGACAAGTTAAAATAATTCATCAATGTTAAAGTCGTGTGAAAATGGTTGATTGTAATGCGAATTTTATTTTATTTCATTTGTCGTACAAGTTTGTCGAATGTGTCGATTGGCTGTTAGATAAAGAATTAATTTTTAACTTTAATAAGTAATTATAATAACTAACTTTAATAACTTTTATTAGTTTATTTTAACTTTAATAAGTTAATAATGTTTTAACTTAACTTAAACTGAGTTAATTTTTGTTTAAATAACTTTTAACGCAAACTTAGTTAATTTTTGGGCCATTAGCTTTAAACTTAACTTATTGTTAGCTAAAAATAGATTAACTTACTCAACCCTGATAAAAGATAGATATCTAATAATAAATAACGTAAAGTAACAGAACATACAACAACAAATATCGATCTGATCATGTACACTGATAATTTTTGATTGCGTCTCTAGAGAAAACTAGATCAAGTAGTTCTCACCGTGATTTTACGGCGTGGTTGGACATTTTCCCCCTCGTTAGTCGCTTCCAGATTTCTATGTCTGCTCGCTATGACGCACGAAATTCTGCCATATACGTACAGCATTACCAGCATGGGCAAGAAAAAACTGCCCATCGCCGAAAATATCACGTACGACGAGTCCATATTATAGGAGCACTTTTTGATATCACGATTCGTCGCGCGCGGGAAACAACCTAATAAAGGTGGACTTGTTATAGCACCGGCCATTATCCATACCGCTACTATCATCACCCCGGCCAGTCTTTTGCTCCTGCGTCTACGGCTATATATCAACGGCTGAGTTACGGCCAGATACCTTAAACAAGAAATACCAACAATGGACGCGATATATTTTGCTTAAATATCTCTGCTTAACAATCACAAAACCGCAAAAATACAATGTCGCAAATACAAAAGAAGGGATGCTTTATTAACAATATGCTGAATAAATTATTTTGTCGTCTTAGAATTTTTGGAGCATTCTTATAGTGGTTCCAAAATTACATTGCAAAAAAAAGAAGCACATGTGCTAAAATTGTATTTCTGAAATACAATTAATCGCGTAATTTTAATTTCCTGAACAAATTTACTTAGTCTGCAACCAATAGAGTAAAATACAAAGTTAGAAGCATCTTATCGTATACGAAATATAATATAAGAAGTAACTCAAATTAAAATAAACGCTGCAGAAAAAACAAAGAAACTTTGATTGGTAAGTAATTTCTTTACTTTTAATATTTTTGTGTGTGTACATATTATTATAATATTTTAAATATTTATATCTATATCAAAGAAAAGAAAGCATACAGCTATATAAAATATATGTAAAAAAGAAAAAGAAGATGAGAAAATACATGAAAGAACAATCGCTTTCAGCGAGCAATATTGATTCGTTTGGTTGTAACGATAAACTAACATAATAAAATGCTTCGTTGCTTGAACAAATTTTCTACCAATCGGAAAATTCATCCGCTTCTACCGTCGTTTTTTCGTGTGGAAATTCGTAAAGTACGGACATCGGATGATTTACGGTACGTGAAATTTCCTTTTCTAATGATGTGAGAATCTATTCGCAAAAGCTAAAATGGCTAACAGGGTGTTCCCCGATAATACCGCTGTCTACGTGACGAGATTCGAGAATGCATATTATCGAGTTTACCTGTCTATAGATATGGCGCATAACGAGAGAATACTGGCCGTGCAGAGTAGAATGTCAAGGGAGACCCAAGAGTCACATAGTATCTCGCCCAATTCCCAAGTACCTCCTGTAAGCTTCATCAAAACGATATTCTATTTGATAAAAGCGTAATTAATTTCTTATAAGATAAGAAAGATTTACATGAAACAAATGATATCTCTGCTCTCTGTTGCATAGCGATAATGTCGATGATGAAAAGTCATAGTCGACGACATTGTACGCGTCTACCCGCGGGGTTATTAAATGTCGACAGTAATTAAATACTACTCTAAATATTGTTACGATAGTATGTGTGGCGCAATTTGTGAATATAATGCAATCACGGTATATTAAATAAGATCTTCTCACGATCAGTGAAACTCGATGAAAGCTTGTAGCTTAGCACTAAAGATAAATTAAGCGTTTTGTACACGTTTATTGTATTTTAAGCCTTGAATAACAAACGCATACGTACCTGTAACAGAACCGCCGGTGGCATCACAGCTAGACCGACTAATAAATCCGCTGCCGCGAGACTAGACACAAAACAATTAGTTACGGACCGTAATCGTCTGGTAGTAATTACAGCCGCAATCACTAGAGTATTGCCGACCTGTAATAACAGAAAGAAAAAATCAGTATATTATTGCAAACGCGTACAAACTTAGGCAATTAAAAATTTTAAGATTATTTTCGGATTCCACATATTTCATGAAATTCTTCAATTTTTGAACTGTTCCGTATGCATATAAAATTCTAAGAACTGTTTGAGGCTTTATACATCTTATACCTTAATAAGACATTTAGCCATTAATATCTTGATATAGAAATACTCGTAAAAATTATAATATTAGATAATGCATATGCTCACTATGGTAACAATAATCAGCATCGTGAATAATCCTGCTAGAATAAGATCGGTCCAATTGGGTAGATAATATTCCATTTCCACATCTCCTTCGTCCACCGACACCGTGCGATTCCATTGGTAAATGTCCCCATGGTAATCAGGTGTTTGATTCGCCATGACGTTCACCCTCGGTCCATAGATGATAATTTCTGTCTTGCGGTGCGCATATTTTGATACATGATGATTTCTACGAGAAGAATCCATATCCTAAATATAATATACATAAGAAATTGTGCATCTTATATGATTCGTATAATAAAAAAGAAATATTATATGATCATACAGAGAGTATCTAGCCTTTCTGCTGAGAAAAATTTGTAGCGGACTGGCAAAATCTATTCGAAAAGATAGCTGACTGGGCAGTTTTTTGGTCAAAATAAAATAAATTTTGTTCTTAGAATAAACATTAGATTTCATTTGCGACGACAGTCTATTTAATAACATTAATTTGAAATGCAAGATGCATAATATTCAGCGTTAATATATATTATAAAAAATAATGTATGAAATGTTAAATATATATTCGAGGCGGCAGTGTATAAATTAACAGTGACACATGGTATATAATTTTTATTGTCTGATGTGTTATTGTATATTGTGTTATTGTTATTGCAGGCATATTGTTTATCACAGACACTCGCATATTATCAAGAGCGCGGCGATACTTGAGCAGTAAGATAATGGTGCGAGACGCTTCGTATATTAGTTAAATTTCTTTTCAAAATGCGCGATTGCAAGTATCTCGAAATAATTCACTATAATTATTACAACTGATGATTAATTAATTTTTAATAAACGCTGTAACAGTAACAGTATCGTGACGCCTGTAACAGTATCGTGAGACGACAGCTCTTTATTAAAGTGCGTATTTCTCATGATTTATTCATTTCTAATAATTAATAGAAAATATTTATGACGACGGTTTGATCATTTATTATTTTTCTGAAATGTGTTTCCTAACCTTTTATAATCAATAATGTATACTGGTTGCTATTATTGGTTCGAGCAGTAAATAGATTTTTCATCGATTCGTTGAATTAAGTAAATTATAGCGCTGTTTCTGTTTCCACGGCGTGACTGAATAAAAGCAACCTGAACTAAGAAGCAATTTAAAGAAAATTGAATTCCAAGCACTTAATTCTAATAACCACTTTACTTAACTCTAATAACTATCAACAACAAAGGCAATGTCAGATTATAAGATATCATCTAATGAGCAATGTAATTCTTTGCATTTATTAAGGGGGGAAACCAAGTTTTCCTCCTTAAACTTGTAAATCTTAGTTGTTTTCTCTCTCTCTCTCTTTCTATCTCTCTCTCCCTCTCTCTCTGTCTCTCTCTCTCTAATTGAAAATTTCTTTTCCTTTATTTCTCTTTACACATCTCAAGTCGCCAAGCACTTTTCAAGCGTTCTTATTCAATCATAAGAAACAACATGCAATGCAAAGTGCTGTTTTTTACGCGTCACACACAGTATAAAGTATAAAGTAGCTTTGAGAGACTATACTATATACATCTCTTAACATACACACACATCTAACGTCTTTCAGAAAATATTCTAATTATATGCAAATGGAAATTTTAAATAACTACTTCACACACACATAATCTCTCTGCCTTTACAAAAATGATATGTATTATTTATTAAAACACGTATGTCTTTGCATTTTTAATTATAAATTATTACATTTGTACCCTGCAATGAATATAAAAGAATACGTAATTATTAAAAAAATTTCATGTAAAATGTCGTTTTTTACGATAATAAACTAAAAATTGTATGTTAAAATGGATTTTTAATTAATCACAAATATGCGAAAGATACGCACATTTTTAACATACAGTAACAATACTACTGCATCTATCTGTGTATTTTACAGATATCCCAGGAGAATGATAAATCGTGTCTATATAAAAATATCGAGATATGCTTGCATCGGGAAACAATTTAAACACTACTAGGTCGATCAATAAATTTTTTATAAAAGTAGTCCCACACACACTTGGAATAACGGGAGAAATCATACAGTTATAAATAATCGCCAGTAAAATAAGCACACGTAAACACACAAGCAAGCGAATAGTTTATAATATATAAAACTTGACTGATAGTAATTGTGACGTATAAAAGTCGGATATATAAAACGAATGGACTGACGAGATTGCACACAATCGTTATCGATCTTGTAAGATAAGATAGGATGGATTACTGCGAGAAATTCTGAAGCCATTCTTGAAGTAATAAAATATTTCGCAGAGACTTTGTGATAGTACATTGTGTCGAGACAAGATGCATTATCTTCAGAAGAATATATTAAAAAATGTAATACAAGTAAAATTTTTATTTCTTAAAATATTACTTTTTTATTTTATATTACACACATGTATTAATAACTTAGATTTATATACAATATTTCTATTAGATTACATTAATAAAACTGGTAGACAAAAAAGCTAAAGTACATAATACAGTATGAGATCAGATTATCTAAAAAGAAACGTATCAATTAGAAAAATTAAATAACGGTTTTATTTTAATATGATGTGTTTTCCTATTCTTAATTATTAAATATTATAAATATTTTTGAGATATTTATTTTCCTATCCTTAATTATTAAATATTATAAATATCTTTGAGATATTTATTTTCCTATCCTTAATTATTAAATATTATAAATATTTTTGAGATATTTGGCATTTCTCTTTTGCAAAATTCAGTTTTAATATTTGATACGTTTAATATGTTGCGATCAATGAGCAGGTTTATCTATTTGATAAAAGAGAAATTGATTCTTGCATATTACGGATCACTCAAAAAAATGTCTTGCTGATATAGGTAGATTTCTAGGTGTCACAACAAAAATTTATCGTTATATGCAAATGGAAATTTTAAATAACTACTTCACACACACATAATCTCTCTGCCTTTACAAAAATGATATGTATTATTTATTAAAACACGTATGTCTTTGCATTTTTAATTATAAATTATTACATTTGTACCCTGCAATGAATATAAAAGAATACGTAATTATTAAAAAAATTTCATGTAAAATGTCGTTTTTTACGATAATAAACTAAAAATTGTATGTTAAAATGGATTTTTAATTAATCACAAATATGCGAAAGATACGCACATTTTTAACATACAGTAACAATACTACTGCATCTATCTGTGTATTTTACAGATATCCCAGGAGAATGATAAATCGTGTCTATATAAAAATATCGAGATATGCTTGCATCGGGAAACAATTTAAACACTACTAGGTCGATCAATAAATTTTTTATAAAAGTAGTCCCACACACACTTGGAATAACGGGAGAAATCATACAGTTATAAATAATCGCCAGTAAAATAAGCACACGTAAACACACAAGCAAGCGAATAGTTTATAATATATAAAACTTGACTGATAGTAATTGTGACGTATAAAAGTCGGATATATAAAACGAATGGACTGACGAGATTGCACACAATCGTTATCGATCTTGTAAGATAAGATAGGATGGATTACTGCGAGAAATTCTGAAGCCATTCTTGAAGTAATAAAATATTTCGCAGAGACTTTGTGATAGTACATTGTGTCGAGACAAGATGCATTATCTTCAGAAGAATATATTAAAAAATGTAATACAAGTAAAATTTTTATTTCTTAAAATATTACTTTTTTATTTTATATTACACACATGTATTAATAACTTAGATTTATATACAATATTTCTATTAGATTACATTAATAAAACTGGTAGACAAAAAAGCTAAAGTACATAATACAGTATGAGATCAGATTATCTAAAAAGAAACGTATCAATTAGAAAAATTAAATAACGGTTTTATTTTAATATGATGTGTTTTCCTATTCTTAATTATTAAATATTATAAATATTTTTGAGATATTTGGCATTTCTCTTTTGCAAAATTCAGTTTTAATATTTGATACGTTTAATATGTTGCGATCAATGAGCAGGTTTATTTATTTGATAAAAGAGAAATTGATTCTTGCATATTACGGATCACTCAAAAAAATGTCTTGCTGATATAGGTAGATTTCTAGGTGTCACAACAAAAATTTATCGCTATTTTTTGTATCTGTTAGAATATTGTCTGTTACATATAGAATTTATAGCAGCAATATTCTAATAATATCTTCTAGAAAATTTAGGTCCCATTGCCAAATGTTAATCACTGCATTGGATAAATATGAGTTTCGATACTACAGCTAGAACGATCTTTGTGAGAAATATAACTGCCAATTATAACTGCAGCATCGAAAAATTGAGAAAAATTGTTTAAAAGAGCTAGATAGATTGAGCGCGTTATACAAATATGTTAGACGTGAGGATTATATATTCATTTGTTTCTTGCCGCTAATTTTTTCTGTGTACCACAGCCAAACTTTATAACAAGTATGATTGGCCTTAACATGGATAGGCGCCACAGAAAAACATTCTTTCTAAATTTCACAAACAGTTCAGATATAAATTCTGTCTCTGTGACTTAGATTGATTAAATGCGAAACATATGCAATATCACAGTATTTGCTAATCATTTATGTACCTCAGTTAATTTTGCGCACCCAGAAAATTTTTGCTGTAGTTGCAATACCACTTTTTTGAGTGATATATTTTATTTCTCCACTTTTTTCATTGTTCACTTTTTCAATAAAAATATACATGAATAACCAATACTGTTAACATTTTAATCCTATCTGGCATACGTTTAAAAAGTTTAAAAAGAATTCGATATTCATTGCTGCGTTTAAAACTACACTGTATTAAACACGAATAGGATCTTTTCACGGTTTCGGATTGACCACAATTGTATTGGGTTTGCTCAGATTGCCCGTGTGCGAATCTTTCGCCAATTATTTTCAAACTTTGTTCTAGCAGATTACATAGATAACATGCAAATGCACAGAAATAAGATAAAATGTAACGAGTTATCTAAATGGACATACATATGTCCAAAAGATTCAAGTAATATATAATAATGGTGGCGCAATAATATTCTATAAATGTGTCATATAAATAAATAATTAAAAATTAAAATATAACGAATCAATATATATTCTCGCATTTTCATCTCTCTCTCTCTCTCTCTCTCTTTCTCTTTCTTTCTATAATATTTGAAAAAGAATATTTAACTGAAAAAGTTTTGCAACTTTTTGCTCAACTCTATGCAGA